AAAATGGATTAATGATAAGAACATTTCACTGTTAGAATTGATTTCATTGAAATGATTTCTTCTCGTAGTGTCAGTCACTAAAAATTTGAGAAGTGTGTCAAATGAAGCAAGACGGGGTTCGTATATTTTTTAAGTTCTACGTTAAATATAAAATAATTAATTTTTGGTTGAATAAGTAATTTTGCAAAAAAAATACTAATCTGATAATTAAAAATGTAGCCACATTAAATTTACATAAAACGGTCTAGAAAATAAACAAATTGTTCCACACTTGAAGTTTTGTAATGGCCATGGATTATGGTAAACACAATATTGTAAAACATGAGCAAATATTTCAAGGTCTAATTTGGTTTAATCAGTATTAATAGCTGTTATTTTTATTAATAGTATTTTTGTAGACTAAAAAAACTATTTTATTGAGGACTAATATAGGCCCCTTTGTAGAGAATGTAACAAATTATATAATTCCCTTCCTTCAACATATTAGACATATCAGAACTGAAAAACTTCTATAAATAAAAACAATACTCTGATAAATAGCGCCCATTTATCAATTTTTCTTTATAACATCTGCCATGATACCTTAAGGGAATAAAATCAAATGGACTTGTTTGCAATAATAATAAAATTGTAGATATTTTGTACGACAAAATTATGAGTTGCCGAAATGACAAAATCAGAATACAATAATTAATATAATATGCATGCTGTATTATGCTATAATAATTAAAATAAAAACAAATTTTATTACTATTTTTTTTTTTTATTAAAAAATCGATATTTTAAAGTAGAATAAAATAAAGAGCTATTTTTATAAATATATTGTAATTATCAATGGAACACAAATTACGTCATCACTAATATTAGGTAGGCATTCAAACGATCTGTCCAAATGGCAAATGGCTGCCTGTGAGCTAGCTGGCTGATGGATTTGACTAATTCAATGATATATAGTTATATAGATTGCTCAAAGCGGGTCGCATTGCGCTCGGCCATATTGCCTCGCAAGTATTCCCAGATTTGAATATTAGATGTATAAATAAAATCTTCAGATTAGTTTACATTTTATTTATACCGATTACCTTTAATAATGGCTACCTTTCTTATGAAAATAAGCAAGCGCCAAAGTAAATTTAGCGCGCTAGAGCATCAAATTATAAGAAATCGCGGGAAATATCAACTTTTCAGTTAGTTTTGAAGGCCATTTTGTATAGTGATCATAGAAAAAAATGTGTAGTAACATTAATATTTTTAAGAGAATAATTGCTTTAAATTGTATTTATTATGGTATGTGGTATTTTAATTGTGTTTATTATTGTATGTTGTTTTTTATTGTTTTAATGTACCTATATAAAAAAATATGTAAATTATTGCCCTCCACTTCTGCTACTACTGCTACTTTTTGTATATTAGGTTCTTAAATCTGTATTATTAGTATTACTAAATAAGAAAAAAAAACTATTTTTTAAGAAAGTGTCAAATTAAGTTATATCACAAATCATTTGTGCGAAATTTTATTCAATTTTGACTAACAATGGAGATGTAACCACTAAAAAAAAAAAAAATGTAAATTGACCAGAAAACACTTGATGTGAAAATTGAAATTAAAAATTATGTTTAATTATGTAGTTTTTATAAAAATTCATCACTCCCGTGATTTTTAGCGAAACAATTATTTAACAATATCCATTAATTTTTATCTGACAAACTTTATATCAGCGTTACCCCCACACATCGGCGCACACGAACCACTTGGTTCAAGGTCATTATAATTCTTTCTGTGATTGAATGAACGTAACGATAGAATGCAGCCGTTAATTTACAGCAACAATTATTATTATTATTATAATTTGTAATACCTTCCCGTTTGATCATTTTGATTGAAAGTGATTGAGGTAAATTGAATTTAAAATATTTCGCAATGATTTTTAAATATACAGCGCGTCCATAAAGTAACGCATAAATTCATTATTGGCTAAATAAACAATACTATTAAAAATTTCGATTTTTGATTGCAATCTTCTGTTTTTTAAAATAATCTAATACACAGGGTGAATGAACTACCTTCCTGTGATGACGTCTTCACCATCTTTCCAATTTCTGGATTTCACTTATAGGTATATTGTTTATTTCTTATTTTACAAGTAGGTAACTTGTAATTTTTGACGCATGATACATTTTTGGAATCAGCTCGGAAAGAGAAATCTGAAAATTGGAAAAAAAGGGTGTCCCAATTTAAAATGAACACGTCATCACACGAAGGTAGTTTACCCTGTATTTTAAACTATTATTTTTAAGCTATTGCATACCTTTTATCGCGGGCTTTGAGTGCGGCGACCAAATCAAGAAATTCCGTAACGACCGTAACGAAAAAAATCCTAACACCCCCCACTCCAACCGGCACAGCGGTGCGGCGTTAAACAATATTAACTTCTCATTTATTCAATAAAAGAAAATCGAAAAAGAAATTCCGTAACGAAAATAAACCTAACACCCCCCACTCCGACCGGCACAGCGGTGCGGCGTAGAAAGCCGTGCATCGTCTAACATCGCTTCAGTTCGGCAGACTTCGGCACGGTGTTTGTGTGCGTGCGACTAGACGTATGCGTGTAGACTAGCTGCTAACTGCTCATAACTGATTCTCTCTTTTAGACACAATTTCGGAAAAATTGAATTTGAAAATGAATAATGATCCACAACAAAACATGGGACCACCATTGACGCGGTATTTTCCAGATATTTAGAGGATATCAAGTCTCAAACTTATGTTTTTAATTTCCTATCTGTATACAGATATAAGGAAAGTATAGGAATCATGATTTTTTCGACCTCGAGTTTTCGACGGATTTTTACGTTTTGAGGTCCCCTGAATCCGTTTTGACTATTTTCGCGATGATGTCTGTGTGTGTGTGTGTGTGTGTGTGTGTCTGTATGTCGCATAACTCATGAACCGATACACAGAAAAACACCAAATTTTAAACTTAAGCTTTGTTCCAACGTCTAATGAACTGATTAGATTTTGGGCAGAGTCGGAACATCTGGGGAGGTACTTTATAGGTGGTCATTTTTATATTTTATGGAATATATCTGTTATTTACGTTTGGAGAAGAAAATTATTCAAATAAAAGTTACTTCTAATATAATTATCTATACTTTTTGTGCTATACAAAATTTTCCTAAAATGGTCCGTATTCGAGAAATTTGACAAAATGTAAAAAAAATATTTTTTTATAAAAATTGTTCAAATAAAAGTTGTTAACAATATAATTCTCTCAAATTTTTATTCTTTACAAAATTTCTCTAAAATGGACCGTATTCGAGATATTTGAGAAAATGTGTAAATTTCGAATTTTGAAGAAAACTCAAAAACGGATAAAGAAAAAAACATTAAATTTTAAACTTAAAGTTTATTTCGGCCTGACGTGAAATGATTAGATTTTGGACAAAGTCGGAACATCTGGGGGGGTACTTTATGGGAGGCCGTTTTTATATTTTATGGAATATATCTGTTATTTATGTTTGGAGAAGAAAATTGTTCAAATAAAAGTTACTTCTAATATTATTATCTATAATTTTTGCTTTATGTCAACATTTCCTGAAATGGTCCGTATTCGAGAAATTTGACAAAATGTGCAAAATTCTGTTTTTTATGAAAATTGTTGAACTAAAAGTTGTTTGCGATATCGATCTCTATAATTTTTGTTTATACATGATTTTTCTAAAATGGACCGTAATGGAAAAGTGCTAAATTTAAATTTTTCAGTATTTTCGTTTTCAATGAATATCTATAGAAAAATGTTTTGAGGTAGATGTATGTGGCCAATGTATATATTTAGTTTATCCTCTAAACATTTATAGAGATGCTGCAATAGGTTGTACAAAATAACCGGAAAAAGCATATAATAACTAGATAGGAAAGTCATGTGTTGGACACATCAGATTTTTTATTTCAGATACCATAAATCTATAGTTTCAATGATACAAATTCCTGAATAACCTACATGTATTGTAAGATAATAAAATATTTTAAACAATATTAACTTCTCATTTATTCAATAAAAGAAAAAAAAATTGTTTTCTTATCGGCCACCACGCTCAAAAAGTGTAACTTGAATTAATATCAAAGAAAAAACTTGAATTAATATCAAAGAAAAAAAAAATACTGCATAAATAAAATAAATAAATAATTATAATTGCATAAGTTGATAAAAAATGCTATGCAATAGCTTTACCCCGGCAGTCCCCGAGTGTCACACGTATTTTTTTTTTATTTATAATAATATAATACTCTCCCTAATTCACCCCCTTACGAGTAAATTTCAAGCCCTGAAGATGACTGAACGACTTGTGTAGGAGAAGGGACGGATTTTACTATTATTATTTGCCGTGGCGCCCCGGGGCGACTTAAAGATGATTGATGGTGCCATTTGACTTGCCGGTGAGGAAAACCCGAAAAACTTCACCCACCATCATCGAGACGGTAACGCATGGCAATTTTATAATCTGCATGTCATATCAATAGAAATTGAATGTTTATTAATACGGCACACATCAAATCTTATAACGAACCATGCAATTTAATTAAAAATTCACATGGTCTGGTGTAGGATCCGAAACTCTGTCTCTGACCACAAACTTGCCTATAAATGAATATAAGCGCGTGAGAGCGCTACGCCACCGACTAATAAAATAATAAAATTATAAGTTACTTTATGGACGGAGACGCACTGTATATAGGCCGTAATTATTATACATGATCTCTACTTTATGTACAAAAGCTCTTGATTGTATACCAATGTTGGAATTTCTGTTATTCATTAAATTAATTAGTTAATCAAACAAAGAAAAATGTATTCGATATGCTTTTGTTTTAGTATAAATCATCGAAAACGAGACAGTTTTTGATTTTTTAAAAATTATTCATTATTAGTTTAATTTTTATATAAAAAAGTAGTTTCTACTCCCCTCACTAATGCATTTGTTAAAAACATAAAACTTACCTGCTGGAATCTGTGAATGGGCATTTGCGGCTCGTTCCAATTTAGAATGTTGTTGCGCAAGCGTCTCGACCATCTCCTGTAACCTACCCCTTTGTTCTTTTTCGTGTTGCAAGGCTCTTACCAGTTTGTGCCCATGATTTTGGGCCGATTTCAAATAATCTCCGCAAGACTGGAACAACATTTAATTTATATTTTTACAAATTTATGAATCCGATGATTTTACATGTTTTAAGCAGAAGTTTAGCCGTCGAAAATGAGGTGCAGATCTTTGCGTGGTAAATTTAAATGCCATGCTTTTCAACGGAGCTTATGCTGCTGAAGATCGGCGGCTCAATTAGTGCCTAATATAACGCTAGCCTAAAGGAATTTAAGGAATTGTCGGGAAATTGCAGAGAAACTGCCAAGGAATTGAGATAATTTTAAAGGAACTGCGATAATTTGATAGAAAAATGGAATTAGATGTACAAATTTTGGCTTGCTCTTTACATCTCGGATAATTATGGAGTATTGTAATGCGCAGACGAAAATGGGCGTCTGTACGTATGTGTACCAACACGATAACACTAGAAAGATTGATCCGATTGACTTGCGGTTTTGATTTTCTTGAATAATTGCTTCAAACTTAGAACCCTATTGATTTTCAGAATTTTCGGTTCAATCTAACTACTTCAATATCAATGTTCTTAAAATTTTCATGCATTTCTTATAGGGCTTATTTTAAACTTTGATTTACTGATTGCAATTTTTAGTCACTTTATAAGTAAATGGCGGCGGCTGTCAAGAGCGTAGATAAGGGGGGGATAATGAAGGTAATTATCCCCCCCAAGCCATAGACAACATCATTATTTTTTTAAACGTCATATTAAACAAAAATAGAAAGATAAATAAATACAATAAAACAAAGAGTTTCTCAAACATTGTCATCTAAAATAAAAATATTCCTGTAAATTGAAAATTCAAATATATACAGGGTGTTTCAGAATAAAGTACCGTACATTAATTAATTAAAAAGAAAAGCTAAATCTAATTTTCCTGTAAACGTCCCAGTTTTCATTTTACAGTTTGATAAAGTTAATTTCATAGTTACATTATTTTCTAAATATCTTCCCTTGTGTTAAAGACTTTAACTTAAAAATATGTATAGGTTAGTTAATTGTCATAATTAGTTAACACACTCTATTTAGATAAATTACGATAACCCATTTATAATTCAAACTTTTTGAACATCCTATATTTCACAAAAGTTAAAATAAATAATTATTCCTCAAGCAATTTGTAACAAAAAAGGACTCTTGGTTGATCTCTCTGTAGTTTTATCAAAACATGAAATCTATGTACAATTTTATCAAGAGCCGATTTCATAATGAATATTAAAAGGTCCATTAACAAATGGGACCAAGATTTTATGGATCTAATGATTCCATTAGTTAATGTACCTTTTAATATTGATTATGAAAGCGATCTTTAATAAAAATTTGCATTTTTGAAATTTTATAATTTATATAGATATCATGTTTGCGTATGACTAAAACTGAAAAATCTCGGAAATGGAATGTTCTACAGAGATCAATCAGAAGTCCCTTTTTTTGTGAAAAATGGCGTGAGAAATAATTATTAATCTTAAGTTTCATAAAATATAGGGTGTTCAAAAAGTTTTGATTAAAATTGTTTTCTTAGCTCTTGATTCTACGCCAATGGGTTATCGTAATTTATCTAAATAGAGCGTGTTAACTAGGTCTCGGAATTTTTCAGATTTTTGTATTCGAATATTCGTTTGAAACTTTATTCGAATACCCAAATTATTCATTATTCGAATATTTCTAAGTATTCGAATATGGCCCTATGAGCCCCTCCTGGAGCCGCTCTTTGTAAGGGAAGATATTATTTAGAAAATTATGTATTTATGAAATTTACTTTATCACCCTGTAGAATGAAAACTGGTACATTTATAGAAAAATTATATTTAACTTTTCTTTATAATTAGTTAAGATTAGGTTTGCCACCTTTTTGAAAAGTAAAAACGGAAGGGTTGTCAGAAAGGAAACGGGACAATGTTGACGACAGGGGATTTCACAAAAACGAAGTATTATTTTTGGCGAATTTATAAAAAAATAGGTCCTGATCAACTTATATTTAAAAAACCCTGGTCTCTAAAAAAAGGGCATCAGGTTATATATTTATTATCCAGGTCATTAAATGACATGTGCTGTAAAAAAGGACATTTTAAGCTTTAAAAAGTCACAAGGACAATTTGAAAAAAGGACTGTCCTTTTCAAAAAAGGTCAGGTAGATACCCTAGATCTTAACTACAAAATTACAGTAATTTATTCTAAAACATATATAAATAAAAAATTAAAAACAACTTCATTATAAAACTTTAGTCCTTTTACTGGAAATACACACATGAACTCTAGACGTTTCATTTTGCATTCACCAATAATGTAATCCGACCCTGTACCTGTGTACGCACGCGGCCTTCACATGGCAACCAATTCGTGATCGAAGCAACGCTGACGTGTGGAAACAGCCGGACCGCGTCTCGAATGTAAAAGAATACGACGGAATGTCTGCCGCTGAAGCACTGGAAGCGACTAGAATGGCGGAGAGTGCCGCTTAGTCATAAAACGGAATGTTCGAGAGCCTCTCGTATTTTCCAGTAGCGGATTTGGACTAACATAAATAGCCGACGTATCAGCGCCGAGTTTAGTTTAATGTAGAACATTGTATTGAAAATTAAAGTGTAAGAAATAAATTAGAATTGTTAGTGTCTAAATATTACATAAATTAAATAGTACGTCTGAAATAAATTGTAAATAGTGTGTTTTTAAATAAATAAACTTTAAATAAATTAGACTTTCGTCACAGGTATTTAACCAAAAAAGGCTAGTACTATCTGATGAAAATATTGATTTTCTTACTACAGACGACAAATACCTTGCAGTAAAGGTAGTCGATTAAGGTTTATATATTACAATTAGGTATTTATTTTTTTAAGTTGCATTAATAATGGGAATAATGGGTACTTGTTAGGCTAATGAGATGTATTGCATTAAAATTAGTGATTTACAAGACCTTGGATTAGCTTTTTTTAGTAAATTTGCAAAAACCAAGACATAAATAACTGGCTAATGTATAATTACCGACAATTTCTGTGGCAGTTCATAAAATAGCCCTTAACAACAGCCTACCGAAAAACCTACTTGCTTTCCATACTTTAACAGGATGCGATACAACGAGTCAATTTACTGGAATGGGAAAAAACGAAAACTGACCTGCTGGACAACATTCCTCCAACATTTCGATAATTTAAATGGATATGGATCAGTTGACTTTTCCGAAGAACTGGTTAATAATATTAAACATTTTTGTAAAAAAATTATATTCGTCAATCCCATGTTCGTTCTCTTAATGTATTGTTACGCTGGTTTTTGGTATCTCAATTTATTTCAGCTCAACTATTACAATTCAAATATACAACTAATAACCTAAAAGTATAACGTCTATCATAAAACTGACTGTCGGACGTCAGGATCACCGATTTATATAACTCGATTTAACCTTCTAGAACCTTCCCGAACATCCACATTTTTTTTGACAAGGAATAATATTTCCAGACATTTCTGGACTATTCTATCTTCTTATTTTACTCGTACTTTTACTTATGATGACCGCAGCACACTGTAGGATGATGGGTAACAGTATTAGGAGGTTTAATGGCCTCTTCAACAATGTTATCTAGCCTACCCCCAACAGACCATTCTTTATGCCACCAAGATTTGGTTAAACTCTTTAAAACCAAAAATGAAACTGCCAGCTGCCAAAGCCAGTTTTTGAAGAGGACAGCGAAAACTCTGAAGACGAGGAGAAAATTTAATGCGATTATTACACAAGATTTAAGTTGAGGTTTTTTAATTAAATGGATATAATTATTATTAAAGTTAAGGGAGTGCTCTTTCAGTTATATATTTTATTATTCTAATTACTCCTGGCACATTATTTCTTTTTTCAGTATTAATACTAATAATAAATACATTTATTCGAGATCCCTATTTCAAAGGTCACGTATAAGGAAAGTATAGGAATCATGATTTATTTCGACCTCGAGTTTTCGACGGATTTTTACGTTTTGAGGTCCCCTGAATCCGTTTTGACTATTTTCGCGATGATGTGTGTGTCTGTGTATGTGTCTGTGTGTGTGTGTGTATGTGTGTGTGTGTGTGTGTGTGTGTGTGTGTGTGTGTATGTGTGTGTGTGTGTGTTTGTGTGTGTGTGTGTGTGTGTGTGTGTGTGTGTGTGTGAGTGTGTGAGTGTGTGAGTGTGTGAGTGTGTGCGTGTGTGCGTGTGTGAGTGTGTGCGTGTGTGCGTGTGTGTGTGCGTGTGTGTGTGTGTGTCTCGCATAACTCATGAACCGATAGACAGAAAAACACCAAATTTTAAACTTAAGCTTTATTCCAGCGTCCAATGAACTAATTAGATTTTGAGCAGAGTCGGAACATCTGGGGGGGTACTTTATAGGTGGTCATTTTTATATTTTATGGAATACATCTGTTATTTACGTTTGGGGAAGAAAATTCTTCAAATAAAAGTTACTTCTTAATCTATAATTTTTGTTCTATACAAAATTTTCGAGAAAATTGACAATGTGTAAAAAAATATTTTTTTATAAAAATTGTTCAAATAAAAGTTGTATAATTTTTATCCTATACATAATTTCTCTAAAATGGACCGTATGCGAGAAATTTGAGAAAATTGTAAATTTTTAAATTTGAAGAAAACTCAAAAACGGATAAAAAACATTAAATTTTAAACTTAAGTTTTATTTCGGCCTGACGTAAAATGATTGGATTTTGGAGAAAGTCGGAACATCTGGGGGGTACTTTATGGGAGGCCGTTTTTATATTTTATGGAATAAATCTGTTATTTATGTTTGGAGAAAAAATTGTTCAAATAAAAGTTACTTCTAATATTATTATCTATAATTTCTGCTTTATGTCAAAATTTCCTGAAATGGTCCGTATTCGAGAAATTTGACAAAATGTGCAAAATTCTGATTTTTATGAAAATTGTTGAACTAAAAGTTGTTTGCGATATCGATCTCCATAATTTTTGTTTATATGTACATGATTTTTCTAAAATGGACCGTAATGAAAAAATTGTAGGAAATTTAAA